TTATCAGAGATACTGGTTGTAAAAGTTCTTTCCCATTTTTCTGCTTCCCTTCTAATCTTAGTTGCATTGGCTTTGTGCAAAAACTTTTCAATTTAATGTAATCAAAATTATCCATTTTGCATTCTGTAATGTTCTCTATCTCCTGTTTGGTCATATATTCTTCTGTTCTCCATAAATCTGACAGGTAAACTATTCCTTCCTCTCCCAGTTTGCTTATAGTATCAGCCTTTATATCTAAATCACCTCATCTTCTCTTGTCTAGACAATTACAATGTCCTAACTGACCCTTACACCTCCAGCCTCTCCTCTCCCCAATTCATCCTTCACATAGCTGCCAAAGTGATTTTCCTTATGCACAGGTCTGGTCATGTCACTTCCTTATTCAATAAATTCCAGTGCTCCTTATTGACCCTGGGATTGAAAAAAAATCAGCTCCTCTACTTAACTTTTAAAGCCTTTCACGACAGGCCTCCCTTTCCAGCCTTACTATATATTAATCCCATTGGGGCCCTGACCTTCCAGACGAGCCTTCTTGCCCTTCTTCACAAATAACACGCCATTTCCCATCTCTGTGCTTTTGCTTGGACTGTCCCCCATGCCTTGAATGTCCTCTCTCCTCACCTTTGATTCACCTTTGACACCTTGTTTTCATCAGAACTCGTGTTGTCTTCTATGAGAAGACCCTGTCCCTGATTTCTAAGGTCCTTCCTCCCTGAACTACCTGGTATTTATTTTGTATATATTCCACAAATACCCATATCTGTACATATTCTCTCTCAATAGAATATAAATTCAGGGTAACTGAGTGGTGCAGAATATAAATTCAAGTTAGCTAGGTGGTGCAGTGGATAGAGTACTGGCCCTGGAGTCAGGAGGACCTGAGTTCAAATCCAGCCTCAGACACTTGACACTCACTATGTGACCCTGGGCAAGTCACCAGACCCATTGCCTAGACCAAAAAAAAAAAGAATAGAAATTCCTTGAGGGCAAAGACTATTTCGTTTTTTTTTTTTTGTATCCCCAGTTTCTAGTATTGTGTCTGGCACATAGACAGTACTTAAATATGTCTTGATTGAATGGGAGAAGCAGCATAGTACAGTATAAAGAGGACTGCCTAGGTTCAAATCCTGCTATTGTTGCTTCCTATTCACGTGTCTGTGGGCTATGTCCTTGGGCTTCAGTTTTCTCATCTGCAGAATGTGTGGTATTGGACTTTCCAGCTCTAGCTCTTTGATCCTTTGACTGATTAGGCCCCCAAGGGAGGATTTACAGGAGCATATAAACAAGACTCACAGTATGCAGTATGAATTAATTGCAATCTGTATCATGGGAGGGAATATTCTCATGCATGAGATCACATAGTCGGTCAATTGAGCAGCATTTATTAAACACCCACTGTGTGCTAGGTATTGTGCTAAGTGCTGAGATTTGAATAATTGAAGTATAGTTCATTGTCTTTTGGTCTTGTCTCTCTTAATAGAATGAAAGATTAAAGTAAGCAGGATCCATGTCTTTTTCATATCTCTGTTCACAAGTCCCAGCACAGTACAGTACCTTTCATATAATGGCGCTTAACAAGATGTTCATTGCACAGCATTGCGTTTCATTGAATCAAACTAAATTGAGTTCAGTGGATAGAGCTCCTCAAGGCTGAGGTATTTAGATAAAACTTCTTAGACTATGTAGGGCTCAAGCTGCTGTTGCTTTTGTTGTTTGTCCTTTGTTCTGGAAGAGGACCATGATATCAGGGAGGTGATGTAATGATATGCAAATGAATTAGATTTAAGTGAGAGAGGGCTATGCAAAGTCACCAGCCTCACTTTCTCCTTCAGTGCCATCTGGGTCCAGTCTATACCTAAGATATAGATCAGGATGACTGGAGATGGTCCTCAGGACTCAAGCTAGGCCTTAAAGAAGAGAGAGACTTTTAGGGAAGCTAGGTGGCTGAGGACCTGAGTTCAAATCCGGCCTCAGACCAAACACTTGACACGTACTAGCTGTGTGACCTTGGGCAAGTCACTTAACCCCAATTGCTCACCAAAAAAAAAAAAAAACAAAACAAAAAAAAAAAAGAAGAGATAGAGTTTTGAAAGGCAGAGATGAGGGAAGAGGGCATTCCAAACAGGAGAATAGTGTAGGCAAAGGCAGGGAGATAGGAATGAATCTGTCAAGGAACAGTAAAACCAATTTCTACAGCCTCATTCTTGCTTCAGACACACATTCCCAAGAATGTCTCACTAACACCTCAACTTCAGGATGTCTCAAATTTAACTGATCATTTTCTTCTCTAAACCTTCTCACCTTAACTCCTGACCCTCTGTTGATGGTAGGTACTACTCTATTCCCGATTTTGTACCCAAAATAAATTTTTTGGACTTTCCCTCTTCAACATTGTCCACATATTTTGCCAAAAATTTCAAGTCTCTCTTGCAAAACTCATAAATGTCTAGAATTGTAGAAATTAAAGACCTGAGGATATAGACATTTTTCTATTAATCTATCAATTAATAGAATATAGAGAAGAAATGTAGGATATCAGAACTAGAAGGGAGCTTAAAATTTAGAATATTAGTGCCGATAGAGCAAGTGGGTGGTGTAGTAGATAGAGAGCTGCACCTGGAGTCAAGAAGACTCATCTTCATGAGTTCAAATCTAGCCTCAGACACTTGCCAGCCGTGTGACCCTGACCAAGTCACTTAACCCTGTTTGCCTTAGTTTCCTCATCTGCAAAATGAGCTGGAGAAGGAAATAGCAAACCACTCCAGTATCTCTGTGAAGATAACCCCAAATGGGGTCATGAAGAGTTAGACACAATTGAAAAGCCTGAACAATTAGAGCTGAAAGGTACCTCAGAGAGCATCTAATCCAATCCCTTTGTTTCCTAGATCCAAAAGGGGAAAATGACTTTCCCAAAGTCATACAACTAACTTATAAATGGCGAAGTCAGGATAAGGATCTAGGTTTCCTGACTTGACTGAGTCAAGGACTTTTTCTTTTTCAATTAATTATTTTTAGTTTTCAACAATCACTTCCATAAGCTTTTTTTTTTTTTAAAGGCAATTGGGGTTAAGTGCCCAGGGTCACGTAGTTAGTAAGTGTCAAGTGTCTGGTCTGAGACCGGATTTGAACTCAGGTCCTTTTGACTTCCGGGTGGGTGCTCTATCCACTGCACCACCTAGCTGCCCCTCCATAAGCTTTTGAGTTTTAAATACAGCATGCAGTCTGAATCCAGGCTCTACATATACATTCCTATTGAATATGTTTTCACATTAGTCATGTGGTAAGGAAGAATTAGAACCAATAGGAGGACCCACAAGAAAGAAGAAATAAAACAAAACAAGAAAAAAAAGAGCAAATAGTATGCTTTGATCTGCATTCAGACTCCATAGTTCTTTCTCTGGATGTGGATAGCATTTTCCATCATGAGACTTTTGGAGATGTCTTAGATCCTTGCATTGCTGAGAAGGGCTAAGTCTATCAAAGTTAGTCATCACACAACATGGCTGTTACTGTGCACAGTGGTCTCCTGGTTCTGCTCATTTCACTCTGCGTGAGTCCATACAAGTCTTTCCAGGTTTTTCTGAAGTCAGCCTGTTCATCATTTCTTAGAGCACAACAGTATTCCATTACATTCATATACCACAACTTATTCAGTCATTCCCTAATTGATGGGCACCCCCTCCCTTTCCAATTCTTTGCCACCACAGAAAGAGCTGCTATAAATATTTTTGTACGTGTGGGTGCTTTTCCCATTTGTATGATCTCTTTGGGATACAGCCCTAGAAGTGCTATTGCTGGGTCCATCAAGCACTTTTTCTATTGAACCCCGTAGGAGAGTCTCCAAGTAGGTATTAAATGTAAGCTCTCCTCCCCAGCTGTCGTCTCCAATTATTGGGCCTCTGTCCTTGTCTATCTATCCGTGTGTATGGGGATGGAGTGAGGATGAGGATCAGTCTTCACACGGCCCTCATTGTCTCTTTGCTTCTGTCTCTATCTTTTAGTTCTGTGGTGTCTATTTCTATTCCATCTCGGCTTTTTTTGTCTCGGTGACTTTCTCTGGTATGTCTGTTTTGGATGCTCACATCCACTTCCTCTTTCTCCACCTCTGTCTCTTTTTTCTCTCGGTCTTGATGTCTTCCTCTTTCTTTCTCTTTTTTTTCTTTCTTTTTTTTTTTTTTTAGGCAATTGGGGTTAAGTGACTTGCCCGGGGTCACACAGCTAGTAAGTGTCAAGTGTTTGGTCTGAGCCGGATTTGAACTCATGTCCTCCTGACTTCAGGGATGGTGCTCTGTCCACTGCACCGTCTAGCTGGCCCCCTCTTTTTGTCTCTTTTAACACTTTTTGTCTTTGTATCGATGTTTCCTCTTCTGTGACACTTTGTCTCTAGCCTGTTGTTAGTAAGTGTGTCTGTATCTTGTCGTTTCTGTCTTTCTGAGTGTAACTCCCTTCCTGTCTCTGCCGCCCATCTTACTGTCTACCTTAGTCTTCCTTTTTCGTCTCCTTGTAACACTTTTTGTCTCATTCCGTCATTGTTTCAGTCTGAAACTCTTTTGTTTGTCTGTCTTTCTGTGGGGCTCTCTAGCACCCCCTACATTAGGGTTAGGGTTAGGGTTAGGGTTACCTACACTACCCCCGACTCTGTCCTCTAGTGTCTGTCTCCAGGCCAGAGCCAAGTCTCAGCTGAGCCTGTACTCAACTCTGGGGCTCCCCTCCAGCTCCTTTCCTGATCCTGGGGGGGGGGGGGGGGGGGGGGGGGAGGATGGACATTTGAGCCCTGCTGGGTCCTAGCCAGTTAGAACCGGAGTCCAAGGCCAGGACTGACAGGGGGTAGTGAAGCCCTGTAGGAGGGAGGGGCTGTCCCACCTGTCAACATCCTTGATGAATTAGGGGCAGGCCAGGGCCTGCAGCCAGTATGCCTTAGTTCAGGAGTGGAACTGTGCCGGAGGATTGTGTGTAGAGAATGGGGAGGTTGTGGTAGCTTCCATGGGGAGAAACACTGTTCAGTGAAACTCACAGCCAAAGGGAAAGGGGAGGGGGAGGTGATCTGAGCTAGAAGGACCTGAGGATGTGACTTTGTGTGGACACAGCCCACAAAGGGTATTTAAAGGGCCAAGATCCTCCATGCCCCTTTCAACCTCCTGTCAGCATCATGGGCTCCTGGGTCTTCCCCACCTCGATGCTCCTGCTCTGTCTGATCCAGGGAAGCCAGCAAGGCGGTGAGGGAATGGGCTACCTGGGTCTTGGGAGGGAAATGGGAATCCCAGAGGGGAAGGATTCAGCTGAGAGGTCAGCTGCCTGGATCCTGGCCTGAGAATCTTTCTTCTGGGCAGCGCCTGCTCACCTTCTTCCCTGAATCATCAGATCCCTCTCTCCTCCAGGCTTGGCCCCTCAGGGGAACGGCATCCTGGGGTGGTTCTTTTCCTCAGCCCATATGAAAGGTGAGTGACCCACCCAGCACCCAGTTGCAGGGGACTGAATGCTGGTGATTTGGGGAGATTGGGCAGATCAGGCCCTTTGCTTCTTAGGGTAGACCATTCCTTCCCCTCAATAGAGAAATACCAAAAAATCCACTTCCTATCTATGTGGGAGTAAAAGCAGAATTGCCCTTAATTAATGAGAAAGCAAACATTTATACAGCGTGTCCCAAAAGTCTTAGTGCAGATGTTTGGGACACCCTGTAGAGTACTTATAAGGTTTCCCTGCTGCTAGCTCATTTGATCTTTCCAACAACCCAATAGGGTAAGTACTACAGGAGTTATTATCCTCACTTTATGGTAAGGAAACAGAGCCTCCGAGAGATTAGGTCACACAGGTAGTAAATGTCAGAGGTGGGATTTGAACTCAGGTCTCTTCTGATTCCAAGACCCTTTTCACTCCACCATACTGCCTTTCACTACCCATGCAGATATCTCTCAATGCCTCTAGACGTGGGGCTTAGGGCAAGCAACAACGAAGAAGAGTTAGTGGCAGGGAGGGGCTCCCCAAAAGATGAGTAGGGGACAGAGGACTTGTGTCTTTCACTTTTTCTTTCCCTGGGGCCCTCCTAGCCACTAGACATTGATGCCCTATGGAATCAGAACACAGAACAGAAGGGAATCTTACAACATAGAACATTAGCACCATCTTACACGCATTCGGCCCTTAACAAATGCTTATTTAATTGGTTATAATTAGAGCTGAAAGGGAACATCGGCCCTAGGCTTCATCTAATCTGGGCGTTCTCAACATTTATTTTTTTTTTTGTCCTGGACCTCTTTGGCAGTCTGTTGAAATCTATGGACACCTCAGGATATTTTTAAAAAATTTTTTTCAGGATATTTTTAAATGAAGAAAATAAAATACCAAGGATTGCAAAAGAAAGATATTATATTGAAACAAAGTTATCAAAATATTTCAAAAACAAGGTCACAGACCTCCAGAATTCATCCCTACTGGTTGGAGTCTGTGGACCCTCAGTATCTGGTTTTGTGTGGCCACATGGGGAGAGGAGATAAATTAAAAGAGAGGAACTCTGCTTTTTCCCCAAGAAGTTTACAGTCTCCTTGGGGAGACAAGATTCACATGCTAAATAATTAGAAAATAATAATGGCCAGATCATAATTACAGCATGCTACAGACTGTAACTACTTAGGGGGTTTGATGGGGAGCTTAGTGTGGACGAAGACAGAAAACAAACTGCTAGAGGGCAGAGATTATTTTTCATTTTGTCTTCTAATCCCCAGACCCAGTATCATTTGCTTCTTGCATGTGATAAGACTTAGTAAATGCTTCTTGGATTGGCTTGGTCAGAAAAAGCTTCCTGGAGGAGGTGGGAACCTGGGCTGGGGTCTCCAACAATGGGTAGGGGAGGACCAGACAGAGAGACTAAAGGAGGATCTTTCAGGCAAGGCAAACAGTCATGAGCAAAGGTGAGGCGGCAGAGAGCCAGGGAGCCAGTGAAGAGACCAGGCTAATCGGAGTGGAGGGCCAGGTTGAGGAGAAGTCTGGAAAAATCTGAGAAATTATGGAAGGAGTGAAGGAAAATTTTGGACATTCTTTACTTTTCCGTCCATTATCTTACCTGGTCCGCATAATATTCCTGTGAGAGAAGAAAGGCAGGGCAAGGATTCATAGGGTCATAGAGCTGGAAGAGATCTTAGAAGCTACCTCGTCCAAGCCTCCTCCCCACCCCTGGATGGTGAAAGTGACTTGTGCAAGGTCATACAAGAAGAAACTGTCAGAGACAAGATGTGAACCCAGGCCCAGAGCCAGTGATCTTTCTACTGTATTATGCTAATTAGCATCCCCACTTGATAGATGAAACCCCACAGAGGACTAAGGATCACACTGTTAGGGATAGACTCAGCCAGTTACTGGACCTAGCTCTCAGCCCAGTTACCACAACATTTCTCCTCTCCTTGTAAAGCTACAAAAAGGACTTGAGAGGCCATTGAGTAGAAGAGTAGAGCAAGCCCCCAAGGAGAGAAAGACTCTGGAAGTCAATAACATATGGGTCCCCAAGATGCTAAGAAGGGGAACAGGGAGTCTCTGTGTCTCTTTCTCACTCCAACATTGACAAAGCTTTTGTCTCCAGAGGTTCCCCCAGGAGCAGGAGCAGAAGCTGGAGCTGCGGCTGGGAGCCCACCAGGAAAGGCAGGTAAGAAGAAGAAGAATAAAGGGGAAGGGACTTGGGAAGGTACTTAGACCTGTGAGACCTTTGGGCCCAAGGCCATTTTCCCTTCCATCCATGTGGATGGATGGCCCCTAGGTTCTTACGGGGAAGGCTTTCCACAAGGCTCAAGGCCTAGGTTGACCCCCCCCCCATCCTCTCCTACAAAATGCACAAGAACTTCATATTCACCCATGTCAAATAGCCATCTAGAAGAAGCAGAGCCTGAATGCCAACCCTGTTCCTACTGGTACATAGCTCAAGCGCCAGCAACCCCAGCTGTGCCTCTAACCAGCCTCCTTCCCTGCCAATCTTCAGCCCTTGGGAATCCTAATTCCTGTTTGCCCCACTCCCAGAATTTTTTTCTGGCCAGACTAATCTTATTTTGGTCCTGTCTTTCCACAGGCTATGGTACACTGCCAAATGGCTATGGAGCAGGTAAGGCAATGTGTGGGAAGGAAATAAAGAGCAGGGTTCTTAGGCTCTGGTTCTAAGAAGGAGGAAGGGGAATCATTTCAGAGGGAAGAGATGTTGAGTGCCTGGGTTCAGAGAAAAGGGTAAGGTCCTGGTGGAGGAGGTCAGGAACAAGGAGAAGTTAGGTGTTGGAGCTGGGTTGTGAAAAAGTGCCAGACCTGCATCCCTCTGATGTAGCATGTAACAGCTCGTTAACAAAGAACTCCCCCCAAAAAATAAAAAACAAAAACAAAAAAAAAA